TCCCCATCTGCCTTAGAGCTGCAAGTAATCTATTTCTATAAGAATTAAGAGATTTGGCAAAGGAAGAAAATTTCTTCAAGCAAGAAAAATGAAAGCCATTTCTGGAACTATAAAAAGATCACACCCAGAAAACGTGGCTGATATACGAATAGATGATATATGATATGATATGACAGGGGCAATAGCCAGAGGCTGAATGCAGGTGGCCTGACAGATAAAAAACACATATCCAGAAGTATCCCTGGTGGCAACAACTCACCAGCCTTGGCAGGGAGTGGTTCCAGTCCAGGCCAGTCCTAGGACAGCCTGTTAACTTTTAGCAGTGCCCCCAAATAATCTACAGGTTTAGTTCCAGTGGGAGATTTGGGTCAGAACCCCTAGAACTACGCAGCCCTCCTGTCTCACACCATACCCTCTACCACCAGGGGCCTGACTTCCATGTTAGCTCCACAGAAGGCTTTCTCTGGGATGGGGGTGACTCGTGGCTGGGCTGGGCTGGGCATCCCAGAATCATAGAAACCACAGCACATCCCACATTCCTAAGACTAGAGTCTTAGTCTCCCACATAGAGGCTAATCCTGAATCAGAGTATCTGACCCAACTGCATTATTTCCCTGAGTAACTTCTAGTTTCACACACAAAAGAAAAACAAAAAGTAGACAAGGGAAAAAGTCTGGGCTCTTTTATTTAAAGTCAGCCTAAAACTGGAGTCAATCAGAAGAATCAGAATTTTATGCAAAAACACTCTGCTGGCATTTGGGAAAATTCATGTGAAGCCAAAGCTCACAGGACAAGAGGGAGCCAAGGAATTAAGATCTCTTGGAAAAAGCAGGAAATATCGTCCAGCAAGATTTCACCATGTACTGGTAAGTTTGTGTAAACTTGGTGCTTGAGGTAAACCAAATAATTAATGACTACAAAACCACCACTCAATCGTTGACATGGTACAAACATCTGGTAAAGAACAGTTTAGCAAATGGTCTTCATACCACTTCTAAATTCATACCTATAAACTTTTGAAATTAAAGTATATTCTTGACCATCCTACCTGGACAAGTAGTCTCCATTCTACGGACTCACAGACCTATAAGAACAATGCTGCATTATCTTTACTTTTTTTTTTTTAAGATTCTGTTAATCTGATTCAGGTCAATTTTTTAATATTTAAAAAGATTTATTCTCACATGGACAATATCATCCATATAATCAGCAGGCTAATAAAATTCTAACTTTCTTGACCATTTTTACTAGAATGTCTCAAACATTTTTCCCTATAAATATTCTATTTGGTGGGGGTAACATAAATAGCGATGGAAGAGTTCATCTTGAGAAATATAGCCAACATTCTCAATGGCCATGATCCATCTTTGCATATAATCCAATATGTCAGATTGGATTTTGAGTGAGAGGTAAAAGACCCATAATTGGTTGCTTCAGGTCTCTTAAATGTCTTAAATTGTGATCCACAGAGCAATCGGCATGAACTGAAATATCTGTGTCTGCTGGTGCAAGGTTTAGCTTACACACAGATGTAGCAAAATTTCACCCAATCTGATATCTCCTTTTATTCCTAGGCCAAGTACTCAGTGGGCTGGGGCATATTTGTAATGTAGGAACACAGGCTGGGCATTCATGTTTGAGAACTCCATCTTTGAATGGAGTATTTACTCCATGCCACATTTACTGGCTGATCTCAAGTACAAGGTCAAAGGCAGAACCTCCTCAAAATTCTACCAAAGACATATCATCGCCTGTGCTCAAAGTGGCCTTATTAATCTTCAGGATGGGGTTCTTTACACTGTCAATCAATCACCCCTTCACCTGCACAGATTTGTTTGGCTGCCGCCTTCATGCTTGAGCCAACTGCAATTTTATTATTACAAATTCCAGATGTTTCAGGTAGACTGAATGAAAATGAAATTGCATAAATCACATGCAGTCATCGGTGCCTTCAAATGCTTCAGAACGGCACTAAACATAAACAATTCAACTTTCGCACTTGTTACTTAACCCCAACGAAACTACCTCTGGTTGTCTAAACTCTTTAGGCTGTTCACCAGTATTTAGTTCTCCCTTCCTGGCACGTGGTAGGATTATACTTCTGACCCTGTTGGGTAGTATGTGTATGTGACTTGCTTTGGCCAGTGAATGTGAACAGAAATGTCACCTCCAGAAGGAAGCTTTAAGAGCTAATGTGTAATGGAATATTACTCAAGACATAAAAAGAATGAAATAATGCCATTTGTAGCAACATGGATGGACCTAGAAATTATCATACTAGTGAAGTCAGAAAGGGAAAGAAAAATACCATATGATATCACTTATATGTGGAATCTTAAAAAAAAAGAAAAGAAAAGAAAAAGAAGATACGAATGAACTTATTCACAAAAGAGAAATAGACCCACAGACATAGAAAACAAACTTACAGCTACCAAAGAGGAAAGAGGCAAGGCAGGGATAAATTAGGAGATTGGGATTAACATCTACACACTACTATATATAAAATAGGTAACCAACAAGGACCTACTGTATAGCACAGGGAACTCTACTCAATTTTTGTAACAACCTATAAGGGAAAAGAATCCAAAAAAGAATATGTGTGTGTGTGTGTGTGTGTGTGTGTGTGTGTGAGAGAGAGAGAGAGAGAGAGAGAGAGACAATCACTATGCTGTACACCTGAAACTAACACAACATTGTAAATCAATTATACTTTAATAAATATATATAAATAAAATAAAATAAAAATAGGTTTTTATTATGGAAAAAAAAAAGAGCCATTGTCACTTACTACATTAGTTTCTTCCTCTGCCACAGTAATCATCAATGTCCTCAATGTGGCTACTCCACCATCCTAGATCCCTGAATGAAGATGCTAAAAATATATAATACAGATACAATGTGAGCAAGAAATAGGCATTATTTTATTTATTTTTACTGAAGTATAGTTGATTTACAATATATATTAGTTTCAGGTGTACAGCATAATGATTCCATATTTTTGCAGATTTTACTCCCTTATAAGTTATTACAAGAAAATGGCTATGATCCCTGGTGTTATACAGTATATCTTTGTTGCGTATCTATTTTATATGTAGTAGTTTGTATCTGTTAATCCCTACCCCTAATTTGTCCCTCTCCTTTTCCCTCACCCCTTTGGTAACCACGAGTTTGTTTTCTATATCTGTGAGTCTGTTTCTGCTTTACACATACATTTATTTGATTTTTTTTTTAAGATTCCACACATAAGTGATAACATAACAATATGTGGCTTTCTTTGTCTGGCTTATTTCACTAAGCATAATATTCCCTAGATCTATCCACATTGCTGCAAATGGCAGAATCTCATTTTTTATGGCTGAATAATATTCCATTGTATATGTATATAACACATCTTCTTCTTACTCCAATTGTCTGTTAATGGACACTTGGTTTGCTTCCATGTGTTGACTATTGTAAATAGTGCTGCTATGAACATTGGGGTGCATGTATCCTTTTCAATTGTGTTTTCATTTTTTCCAGATATATACCCAGGAGTAGAATCAATGGATCATGTGGTAACTCTATTTTTAGTTTTTTGAGGCACCTCCATACTATTTTCCACAGTGGCTGCACCAATTTACATTCCCACCAATGGTGTACAAGTGTTTCTTTTTCTCCACATCCTTATCAACATCTGTTATTTGTAGACTTTTTGATAGTAGCCATTCTGACAGGTGTGAGGTGATACCTCATTGAAATACATGTTATTTTAAATTATTGAGCATTGGGAGTTGTTACAGCAACACAATCTAGTAGATACACAACAACCTGACTGAAACACCATCCCTTTATAGGAAAGAAATATTGGGACACTAAACACTATGGCAAGTGTTACTATAATACAACACAGAAGAAATGTGAGACTATATCTATTATATAGTAGCATACATATGTGGATATAGATATTATTGATAGCCACTCATTAAAACAGACTTCTCACGCCCCCCACACACAAAAATCCTCCTCACATCAAATGGATAATCTGAATTCTTAAAACTGAGTGCTCAAAAATCTCAAAGAAATACATAGGTCCCCCATCAAAAAAGTACTTGACCCATTTGTCAAAATCACTTGCAGAGTTCCACTTCTTTTCTAAAACCGAGTACCTTAATCAAACGCAGAGCTTCAAAGAGGCTTCGGTTTGAGTGACCCAATAGACAAATAAATTAGCTGCCAATGGCTCCTTTGTAATTGAAGAGGGCCAGGCTGACCAAGGGGAGAAGACTAAATCAAAAACGGAACTGTTCAAGCAAAAGCAACGCTTGGGGACCTGAAACAAACCAATACGGCCATCCCACACACTCTCATTTCCAAAAGTAAGGGTGAGCCAAGCACATGTGTGTTTATTCGCTAATAAGAAGATGCAAACATCCCACATCTGATTGATTTCTTATGTGCTACAACCATAAAAATGTTTGGGTCTGGAATACACGTTTGAGCGTTGAGCTCAAATGTGGCAGCTTATTAACCCGATCACACATCTTATACCTACGATCTACAAGAACATTTCCCTTTGTAACAGTGAAACTCTGGAAGGTTTTCTTCTTTACTGCCAGGACAAATTGCTTAGGGCTTCTCACTTAAGTATGTGAAGAACTGTCCAGTTTTAATCTGCAGAGCTTTTAACTGGTGACTCAGTGAGGGATGATGTCATATGTTATCCTACAACGGCTGGTGTGGTTCCCTCTGTTTCTGTGGCCGACAGTACTCCCCAGTTTCCATCCTTTCGTCAGCTTCTTCCCAGCCAGCCCACAGGCAAACAACCTCCCCAGCCGTGGATGAAACAGGAAGTCTGACAGCTTGAGTCTGCAGTGGGACCCCTAGTGTTTTCCCACTCCATGTCCTGGCAGCGTTCCCCAGAAGTACAAACACACACACACAGAGCTCCCATTGTTGCAGCCTTCTCCAGCCCACTGATCCTAATATGGAATGCAGCAGGAAACCCATGATTTCCTGACACTCGGCAAGCTGGAGGAAGCAAGGGAAAAAACTCCATTAAAAAGCCCAGCTTTCCTCCATGTTAGATGTGAAGTGGAAAATGGGGAAGATTTAGCGAAATTCCACTGTGTCTTCAGCCAGGCTTGGAGAACAGGAGAGCAGAGTGAAACCCTCAGGCTGTTGAAATTTCTAGACTCCCAGGAAGCCCCTAGAATTGGGTGAAAAATGAGGATTCATAACTCAAACTGATGGGGGCAAGGGGCAGATGCTTTTAATCATTCTCCCCAGTGTGTGTTACCTTTCTTGACCAGTATGGTAAGCAAGAGGGCACATGCCAGCCGCCTCGGACAATTCTGCATGATCCGAGTTCCCCAAAGTAAGACAGAGTGACCTCAAGCCTGCGGCTCGCTTCATGGGCTTTGGGAGAAGCAGGAGAAGCAACGGCAGCGGCACAGTCACAGCAGCTGGAGCCGTGAGAATGAACTGCCAGGAGGGAAATGACAGCAGCTGTGGCTGCGGTGGCCGCGAGGAGAATAAGATGCTGAAGTGCGTGGTGGTAGGGGACGGCGCCGTGGGGAAGACCTGCCTGCTCATGAGCTACGCCAACGACGCCTTCCCCGAGGAGTACGTGCCCACTGTGTTTGACCACTATGCAGGTAAGAAAAGCAGAAAACCTACCCCTGCATACGAGGTGAAGGAGGCGGGAGACGACAGCCCAGCTTCAGAGGGGCCTGGCTTATCTCTAATGTCAGTGCTGGGTCTGGGCCTGCCAGGAGCCAGGTAGCTGGGCATAGCAGACCACCAAGGTCTTTGCTGTTGTTAGGACAACTTGTATATCAATGTTATGGTAACACTTTTCTCCAGTTAAACCAAATGAATAACGCTGGGGAAATACCCTGAACCGTCCTCTAAGCTTTGCGGCTAGAGATTTTACTTAACATTTGCCTGAAGATTCATCAACTTTCTTTAATGTGAACTTTTTAAAAGGTAGCGTAATTGCATCACAGTTCTTTAAAAAACAACAATGACACTAGCCACACAACTGGTGAAAGAAGTGTTCTTGCCACTTCTCATATATTCACCGCATGCCATTTATAAAGGAAATGCTGAGATTAGTAACATTAGAACAATCGTTTTTCTATAATAATTGGTGCTGTCTTAATGTCCTTTCATTTTCCTGTGGAGGTAGATTGAAGGAAAAGTACTGAAAGGTTTTAAATATCTCCTGGGCAATCTGTATCTTGAATTAAAAGAGAAATTTTTAATCAATATGTTTTAAAGGTAAAAATAAAGGTAAAACTAAAATTTTACTTATTTCAACATATGTCCCCAAAGCACAAAATATGGCATAAAATACTTTAAGATCTGACAGTTAAGATACTGTAGTCACAACTTAATTCTTTCCGGTATATTTTTTCGAGTGTTCTAAAGTTTGTTGTGTGATAGCTTATTTAAATTTTTCCATTTTGACTCTTATTTTTTCTCTTAATCTCCAAAACAAATTTTATTAAATTTCTTAAAAGCAAATTCATAAAATGCTTCAGGTTTACAATAGCCTAGATTTTATAACTTTTTGGAATACGATGATCCACTTGCTCACTATGAGATCAGCTTGAGTTACCAGAGATTTGAGATTTTGTGAGAGGAAAATTTCTCTTCTTCACTTTAGCTTTGGGTCCAGAGTAGCGAAGGGGAAATGGCCCACAGGAAACCTGTGTGAGCGTTGGCTTTGCTGTGAGGTCATTTGAAATCCTTTCTGTAGGAAGCAGCTTCTTTTCCACAGCTAAACAATCACCTACATCTCCTCCTCCTACTACACGTACATGATTTATGACACTATTACATAGCAGACAGGGAGAGAACCACAGTGAAAATAGTATCCACTTTCTAGCAGGTTTTTCTATATTTGTAGAAATTAAGAGCAAATTTGAACACTGGCTCTCTTAAGCTTTTCTGTGCCCAGAGAAGAACATTTTAATGAGAACAGAATGAAGAGAGTACAGGTAGACTTTCACCCTGAGGGGGGGAAGAAAAGTAATTGTAAAATTAGGTCTGCAACTTAAGAAAATTATTGGGATCCTGACCTGTAAACATCTTAGCAAAAGTTATTTATTCTACACCCTCTTTCTGCCAGGATAGGGAAGTGGCTGGTACCTAATTTCAAAAACTTTAGGTCAAAAATGGAACCCACAATCTCCTAAAGGGAGAGGTTTCAAGTGCTTTTAAAAATTACATATCCCATCCCCAACTATTGGGTGAAGCCATTACAGTACAGTGTCAGGAAGAAAGAGGATAAAACCATCTTTAGAGATAAAGTTAGCCTATAAAAAAACATTAGAGATCAAACAAAGGCTGGACCACTGCTAGATTCCACTAAGATCAAATTGTTTTATGTTTCAGTTGTGTACATACTTGCTGTTATTTGAGCAGCAAAGCATCTTAGATTTTGTCTATTCCTTGTTTTAGCTCTCAAGAAATCACAGCCACTATACTCAAAGCAATACTTTGTACATAGTAGGCATTCCCAAACATTGTTACTTTGATTTACACTTTGTATTTTTTTTAAATACACAGTCATCTCATGCATTTGTAGTTAGGTTGTAAAGGGAAATGAAGGTGTAAGCCACATACATCTAGGAGCGCAATGAAGTGAACATTTCCATTTGTAGAGGGATCTTCCCCATCACGACGACCCTAACTCTTTTTACCACCACGCTCCTCATACATGAACTGATTGAACATAAACCCTTACACAGTCACATGAGAATCTACAGTCAATTGTAAAAGAACTCATGCTCTCTTCTCCACGTGGAGAAATATCCAGTATCCAGTCCCTGGTCCTACTGGCTCATTCTGAAATGACAACCTGCAAATAGTTTACTGAGTCTTTGGAAAATTGCCGTCAAAGAATTTAGAATAGTTCAAGTCAAAGAGAGCCTATCCCTTGAAGAAGATTTTTCCCTAATAGCTACACATCCTAGGAGGGTAAAGATAAAATAGTAAGGACGGAAATACTTAAGATAGTGAGCTCAAGATAGTGAGCTCTGAAGCTGGACAGCCCAGTTCTAATACTGGCTCTGCCATTACCGTGTGGTCTTGAGCAAGTTGCTCAACTTCTCTGTGCCTCAGTTGTCATGAATTTTTTTAAGGGACAATAGAGGTATAAGATCATGAGAACAAAATAAATTAATACATGTAGTTCTTAGAACAGCACCTTACACATGACAAGTATCAGGTAATAGTAGCTACTGTGATTAAGAATAGGGTCTCTTACATACAGAATGAATAAACAACAAGGTCCTACTGTGTAGAACAGGGAAGTATATTTGATATCCTGTGATAAACCATAATGGAAAATAATATAAAAAATAATATATATAGATATATATGTATAACTGAATCACTTTGCTATATAGCAGAAATTAACACAACATTATAAATCAACTATACTTCGATTAAAAAAAGAATAAGGTCTCTACAGTTGCACACAGCTATGAAAGGGAATTAAAATGTAATTAAAATATAAAGGCTACAACAAGGAAAAATATAATTACAAGAATATCCTTCAAACGGAGTAGGGTGTGATAGAGTGTGTGTATTGTCCTGATGATATAGTTATCGTGTTTACTGATAATTGATAAATATGTCTACATGGAGTAATAGTAGTGGGATGTTCACTGGAGAGGAAATATTAGTTCTGCACGAGTGATTGTAGAAAAATCAACAACCAACTAGAAAAAAAATGTTTTTAAGTTTTATAAATCTTGGTTATTTTCCCTCCCTCCTACCTATCAGAATCCAAAAGTACATCTGCTTGATGCAGCTTTCCTTGACTCCCCAAGGAGAATTCCTTGCTCCATCTCCAACCCATCCCCAGAAATGTGTTAACATTGCTAGAACACAACTTGCATCATTGTATAGCAATTTATTTGTTTCCTTATTTCCCCAGTCCCACTGTACGATAAGCTCCTGAGGGAAAGGGTCATGTCTTGCCAAAACCAGTGTTCAATTCTCAGTCCTCATCTTACTTGATCTCATGGAGGCTTTTCTTATGGTTTATACTCTCCTTCCTGAAACACTTTCTTTGCTCCTGGGATACCACATTCTCCTGGTTTTTATTCCCCTACTGTCAAGTCTCTCTCTATCTCCTCTGCTGCTTTCTCCATCTCTTCCCCTACCACTATACATTGGCATACTTCAGGGTTCAGTCTCTCAGTCCCCTTCTCTATTTATGCTCATGCTCTGGTTGACAGTATCTAGTCTCATGGCTTTAAGTATGATTTATACACTGATGACTCCAAAATGTACATCTCTACCACAAAAAAAAAAACAACAACCTGACCCAGACTCATATATTCAACTGTCCATTTGGATATCTAATAGGCATCTCAAACTTAACCTGTCCAAAACAGAATTTTTTAATTGCCTCAATCTACACCTCCCCTAGTGTTCCCCATAGAAGTATATGACCACTGTCTTCTACCCAGTAGCTCAGAACAAAAACTTTGGTATTATCCTTAACTCCTTTCTTCCTTTGACAATTCTTCCCATCCCTCTCCATCCAAACCACTAGTTATTATCCCTTCCTACTACCAATCAGGTCAACATTCAAAATACATCTCAAAGCTGATCAGTTCTCACCACCTCCATTGTTTTCACTCTCATCCAAGCCACCACCATTTCTCTTCCAAACTACTGTGATCACCTCCCAGCTCCCTGCTTCCAGTCTTATCCCGTATAGTTCAGTTCTTCACACTCCCGACAGAAGGACTATCCACAGCCCAAATCCATCAGTCAAATCCCTTCACCCCGAGGCCCCATCATTTATCACAGTCTACAAGGTACTCCTTGACTTAGTCCCCATTATCCCTCCAACCTCCCCTCCTAACTCTCTGCTCTGCGGTATTTCTGCTCTCAGCCATCTTCATATTCCTCAAACACACCAAACTCCTTCCTTCCTTGAAGATTTTGCATTTGCTTTTCCCCCAACCTTACCTTATCCCCGCCATCTTCCTCAGCTTCAATCGATCACATTGTTTAATGCATTCACACACACACACACACACACACACACACACACACACACACAAACACAAACACACATGCGTACAGTCACTCTTTATTTTTTCTCCTGTTTCATCTTTCCTCATAAGGTTTAACACTGCTTCACATTATATTTATTCTCTCACCATTTTTATCCTACACTGGGATGTAAACCCCATGAGGGCAAGGGCTTTGTCTTTTTCACTGCTCCATCTCCATCTTCTAAAACAGAACTCAACATCTAGTATGCGCTCAATAGATCGTCACTGAATTAATTAATTAATATGTTTTACGCATCTCTGTCCTTCCAGCGCATAGAGAATTCCTGGTCCATTAAAACTTTGAGGAATAAATGAACAAGTTGTTGGTCCAACAGATGTCTCTTTAGGAATGAACATATAAAATATTTATTAACTGTATTATATTTTTGAACTAGTTTGCTTGTATCTTAAATAATCATTTTATCTCTACCAGGATCATAATACAGCATAGAATTTTCCTGACCCAACCAGCCAATGTCACATCTATTGAATAATATAAATATACAATGTATAAATTTCATTTGGAAACAGTTGGGATATACTCAAATTCCTCCATTTGCGTTATATTCAAA